CCAGTATATGCTATTTCAAACCTTCTTACATTAGAGCACATGTGTCAAAACTCAGGCCCGGGGGCCAAGTCTGGCCCGCAGTGAAATTATATTTGGTCAGGAAGATCATATTAAATGTGTACTCGAGTTGATTTGCCAGTATGTATACTGGCAGGATTTGTAGTATAAGCGGTCTATGCACAGTGTTATAGCACATACATTGTTGTTTGTTTTGTTGTTGGCCCCGTGAAAAAAAGATTGACATTAAAAAGGAACTCAAAAGGCTAGAGATAAAGAGACATAATAAGAAACAAATACCACTGATGTGCGTCTTATTATAAGTGTTTGTAATGTTACGTTTTGGTTGTTCCAGATTCAATGTTAACACAAAAACTAAAGTGTCCTTCCACATGAAGAAAATTCAACGTCGTATATCTGGAGAGGAGGGGAAAAAACATGCACATTTCCAGTCAATTTTTCAACAAATATTGAGACTTCATGCCAATTTTTTTTTTCATTTTGGCCCACTGTGAAACTGAGTTTGACACCCCTGCTGTAATGTAGTATCACTTCAATCAACTCTCATTTCATCACATCTTATCTGGGTCTCTTCTGTTCTCATCTTCACCTCAGGTCATCTCTATTGTAATCTAATCTGAACGAAACAGTTTTTTTTTTTTTTTGTTTTTTTTTACATGCTTGTCCTTTGTGTCCAGACTTGGCTGTGGGTATCTGGTCCTCTCTGCCTCTACTGTGCCGAGCGTTTCTATCGTTACATGAGGAGCAGTGACCCCGTTGTCATCGTGGCCGTCATCAAACATCCCTGTGATGTCATCGAGCTGCGCATGCTAAAGAACAACTTCCAGGCTCGACCCGGGCAGGTGGGTCAGATCGGTTTTCATCTCGTTGACGTAACATTTCATTTCTTTTCTTATTCTTTTTTTTACCTGTTTAATGTCTCGCCTGTGTGTGTCTGTGTCTGTTGTTTTTGTTTTTGTCTTTTTTTTTTTCCCCCTCACTCTCCTCTCAGTACGTCCTCCTCAACTGTCCAGGTGTCTCTTCGTTTGAGAACCATCCCTTCACATTAACAATGGTAAGACTTTATGGAACTCTCTCCCCCCGCTCCCCGCAACACATTCCTCACTCATGACACACACACACACTGACACACACACACACTTAAATGTTCTTCCATCTGACAAAAAAGAACAGAGAGTCCCTCAGTCAGTCTCCGGTCTCGGCTGAAAGTTGATTGACAGTTGGGTCGTCCAGGAATGTTCAATTTCACATTAGTTTTTTTAAGGTATTTTTTAGATTCAAGCAGACAATATGGACAGCACACACAAACACACATACACATATTTTGTGCATTTGTGTATGTCTGTGTATATATGTATGTATGTGTGTGTGTGTTTGTTGGTGTGTGTGTGTGTTTAACCCTGACTCACTGTCCTGACCCGCTTGTCCTTGTCCTCCTTGCAGTGTCCCACAGAGAAGAAGAAAACATTCGGCATTCATCTCCGAGTCGTGGGAGACTGGACTGGTGGGCACGCACACACACACACACACACACACACACACACACACACTGGCTTTCAGTGTATAAGAAGCATAATGCAATTACCGTTTTCTTCAATTCAATTTTATAGTTGATTTAACCTAATCCTTAATTAGACTCTAATCCAACCCTAATTTTAATCCTCAATCCAGAATAAACCGTTCACTTCAAACACCCTCCCACTCATCGGAGACAACGCAAGACGTTCGGACAAAGTGTCCAAACAAATATGTTGTCTTGTTGTCCACAGGTTCAGCTGTACCAAGAACACACGCACACACGTTAGCACATAGACAACAACACACACACACAGCCGACGTACAAGAAACACACCCTCAGTTCTCCTTATCAGACTTGGCAGGAAGGAAGTGGTCTTGTTTGTCCTCCTCCTCCTCTTCATTCTGTCTCCTCTCTGGGGAGAGTGCAATTTCGGATTTTTTTTTACCGTTTTGTCTTTGTTCATTTTATCTCAGTGTTTATGGTCCGTTGTGGGTTTTAAAGGCGGTTTGCAAATATTTCACAATTGAAATTGAAATTGAAAATGATGAAAAACTCAACTAATTCCAAATGTCATCCAAAAAGTACATGACCTTTGTCACATTGTCGACTCATTTCCGTTCATCACTGTGAAAATGTGAAGACACTGGCCCTTGAAACTCGGGCAGGAACTCATTTTCGTTTGTCTTGGCGCGTGAATTGGAAAAGACAGCGATGAAGTGGCACGTATGGAAAAGAGGGAGTTTTAAAGTAATTCATGTTTTTTTTTGTTTTTTTTTAATAATTAAGGGATGTCCAGTGTTAATGTTTGGCTGGGGGGCGGGGGGGCAGCATGGTGCCAGGGGGACATGAGGGACTTCCAGTGGAATATGGCACACTGGACATAAGTGTACCACTGCTGTAATGCTTGAATGATAACAAGCCTCCAGCCACTAGGTGGCAGCAACTCATACAGTGGTTTGTACAGATAAAACATATACATGTTATCAGGTTCTCAATAGTATTTAATTTTGTGGGGACATGGGTTGGGTGTGAATAAATGTCTGTCCTCAAGGGGGGGCATGACAGAAAGTAACTGGGCGAAACCCAGGCATCGCGTTATCGGGTTTTCATAATCGGAGTGAAAAAAACGATAACTATTCTTACTGTTCTCAATATCGGCGGATAATATCGGTTGGTCAAGATTATCGGACATTTTTATTAATAACGAATACTTAATTAATATAACATAACCCTTCCTCCTTCCTCCTCTTTTTCCTCTCCTCCTCTCAGAGCGATTCACACAGCTGCTTCTTCCTCAGCCGAGGATGGACTTGGAGATCCTTCCCATGGTGCAACAGAGGAGATATCCCAGGTACGTGTTCTTTGTCTGTGCGCTGCTCTGTGACTGCGCGCGTGATGTGGCTGAGGCATGATTTCTCATGAAGGCTCAGAGTCTCACAGGGGTGAAAGGTCAAGACCTCTCACCCCCGTGGTCTTCCTGTTGTGTGTTTAAGAGAGAGGGAGAGGGAGAGGGAGAGAAAGAGAGAGCGAGAAGAGGAATTAGTAGACCAGTGCTGAGCCATCACTTCATACAATGATTATACTGTCAAACTTGCCTTTTTTATTCAATCTATCTTCAGAGGGCTGGCAAAAAAAAAAAAAAAAAAAAAATTTGATGAGCGTGCCGCTTCAAAAGCGAAAGCGAAAAAAGTGCCTATCAGCACCTTAGCCCGTTTACATGTGCTGACCAAAGCCGAAAAACATACAACGAAAGAAGGAACCAGCTTGTGGACAAATAGGCCAAAGCTGGAAATGGACCGTGAGCCACTTTTTGAGGACAACTCCTATAGGTTATTGAAGCGCTTGACGTTTACGACGAAGTTTTATCATTTTATCTCTTGTCAAGCTTTGAGCTGACTTACGTCATATTTGATCAGGTTTTTTTTTTTGAACATTTTGAAATCAAAGCAAAAATGGAATTTCTATTCAATTTTGAATGGAATATGGAATAGCAAAAATGGAATTTCTATTCAATTTTTAAATGGATGACGGTAAATTTATTGAAGCCTTGTAGCGGGTTTTAATGTTGCCCTTATCTGATTTTCATCCGAACATTTGTGAGGAACAGGAGCATACGATGCGAAAAATAACTTGAAAAAAAGAGAAATATATTTTTTCAATTTGCCCTTAGACATTTTGACTTTTTCAAACCAAGTTAAGCTCCTACTACTACTAATTGCCTTAGTGATCACTGATCGGTTTGTTAGTGTCCTAATAAGACTGTTTGTCCACACATTGCATACTTCTACATTTATATGTGTTTCATTCCATGGGCTAAACGTGTTTGTTCTTCCCTCTGTTTCTTGGCCGTGTTCCATCTGTGGTTTTTGTGTGTGCGTGTGCAGACTTTATGTGGACGGCCCATTTGGAAGCCCATCGGAGGAGGTGTTCAACTATGACGTCAGTCTGTGTGTGGCCGGTGGGATAGGGGTCACGCCGTTTGCCTGTGTGCTTCATGCTCTGCTGTGAGTCACAAAGGCAGTGTGTCACGCTGATAAAATGAAACCAAATCCTTTGCATTATTTTGACGTTTTCCTTCTTCTTATATTCTTTTACGGCTCGCCCAGCGATGGTTGGACAGGTTTCAGGCTGCAGAGGTTGTATTTTGTTTGGGTGTGTCGAGAGCTGCAGTCGTTTTATTGGTTTGCAGATCTGCTGTGTGCCCTTCATCACAAGGTGAGTAATATGTTTAACCCTTTGATGCATGACCCATGATATACTGAGTTAAAAAAAAGTGTTTTTATGTGTTTTTAGACATAAAAATAAGAACTGATTTGGTTCTGTTTTTATACACCAAATTTTCTTTTTGAATGTTGACACAATTATTCTGCAGTTGCAAAGGCTGACCACTGCATGGCAGTGGTGGGTGATTCTCAGGCGTCCACTGTAGAGGCTTATATGCCATCAAAACCTATTCTTATCATAGAAAATGACATTTTCATAGCTGTCCACTGTAGTGACCGTCATGCATGAAAGGGTTAATGACATTATTATCTTGAAAATAAAGGTTTTTTTTTTTTTAGATCAAATCTATGCAAAAACGTGGTAAGGAGCAAGAATTGGACACTGAGTTGTGCTGTAGCAGTAGTCGCTAACTTGCCAAATTGTTGCCCAATATTTAATAGAATTAAAGCAATGGTTACTGTTAGCCTGAAATATAGCGCAAATGTAAACAAAAGTTAATGCAGAGTTTGCCTGGGAAGGATATGGTATATGATTTGATGAATAGTTAGCCAATGATGAATAAATGTTGTAAAAATAGTTGCAAAACATTTAAAAAATACCTACACATTCTCTTAATGTCTTCCTATTGGGAGTAAAATTCTCTCTTTTAAAAAAAAGTTGTTTTTTTTAATAAATGGTATAAAATAACAGAATGTATTTTAAACTATTGTCACATGAATTAATATTACATGTTTTTGTTTGTTCTACAGCTTTGGCAGGAGAACAGACCCGATTATTTTAACCTGAAACTGTACGTCAGTCAGAAAAACAGTCTACAGGTGGGAGTGTTTTTGTCTTTTCTTAACACATAAAATGTGTAGATTTAAAGATTATTATTATTAGTAGTAGTAGTAGTATTAGTAGTATTTTACAATATTTCTTATTTTTAAATTGTCCTGATGGCACCCTTTTTCTATTACTAAACATTTTATCCGCCAGAGGGCAGTATATGATAACCAGCGTGTTTGCTGCAACCTCTCACTGGGCAAATTAGACCCTATTTAAAGCTTTGTTCTGCTTAGATGATGCAGAACTACATTACCAAACAATAATAATTTTTTTAAAGCATTTTAGTATGTCTACCAACTATTTGGTACGGTACAATTGTCCTAAAAGGGTTGTGGGTTCGATTCCCGGCTCTGTAGTTGCTGTTCTGTACGCCATGCTGGTAGTGGTTAAATGACCTTGTTATTTACTATTTAATGCATAAAATACTTCTTACCATTAATAGGACCTTTGGTGCTGCATGGTTTTGATGCGATTGGCTCCAGCGCCAAAAAAATAATATATGGATTAAATTGTGAAACACAGTTATAAATATATGATTTCACTTGTCATACAAAACAGTCAATTACACTCCATGTAAGACAAATCCTAATTTATCGTACGGTCATTAAATGCAAGCTCCGCTGTCCTTATGGTAGGTAAACATTTTAGGAGGTCTGTCATTCATTTATTTTCTTATTTGAATTTTTATCATTTATTTTATATTTTCAACGCGAGACATGTGTGTTTTCCTACAAAATGGACTGACTTTGTTTTCACGTTTTATGCCAGAAATAAAAGATGAAGTGCCGAGCTGATGATTTTCCCGCTATTATTTAACACAACGCAAAAACACACTTTTTTTTAAAGATTATTTTAACACTATCATTTCTGCAATGTTTTACTTTAATATCAGCAAAATTATTATTTATTATTACTGAAATGCCAGTTAAGATTTATCCGAGAGCCAGATGTAGTCATGAGCCATAGGTTCCCGACCCCGCCTCTATAATATAGCGCATACACTGCTAATACTACAAATACTACAAAAGCCAACTCTAGTACACATTTGATATGATCTGCCAGGCCAAATCAAAATACAATGTGGGCCAGATTTGGCCCCCGGGCCAGAATTTGACATGTGTGCTGTAATGTAAGGAGGTTTGAGTAATCATCTGGTCTAGAGTATTTGTAAGTATAAGTAATAGCATGATGTAGTATTTGTATCTATCTCATTTTGTAGTGCATGTCTGAGGAGAAGTACCGCCCCCTCACCTCAAGGCTGCTGTTTGGACGACCTAAGTGGAAGGTACTGTTCGATGAGATTGCCAAGACCAATAATCAGTGAGTAGTTTGAAAACGAGATGCATTTATTTGACCATCATTTTGAGTATTTTACTGTTATTTTTTTTTTAAATCTTTTTTTTCTCCAGTAAGCGTGTTGGTGTTTTCTGCTGTGGACCTAAGGGCATCTCCAGGAGTCTTCACAGACTATGTAACTCAACCCCATCTCCTGGAATAACCTTTGAATTCAACAAGGAGTCTTTCAGCTGACTGCCTGACAACAGGAAGACAGATATCACCCTAAGGGAAGATTGTGGTTTGTTTTTTTTTTGTACTTTTATGGGGAGCTTTTTTAATATTTAGTTTTATTTCTGTGGGATCTGCAAATCCTGTCAGCTATTTAATTTGTTACGTAATTTCAAATTACTCTGACTCTCTCAGTCAGATGTCTCTGGACACCTTTAAAAGCGGTCCAAAAAAAAAAAAAAAAAAAAAACTCCATATATTTAATAGACTTCATTAGTTCAAAGGAGAGCTTTTTCAGGGGTGAAAACTAAAATGAGAAGGAAACGGCCTTCAGGTGCAGCACATGCCCATCCCAGTAGGGGGAGCAGGTCTCGAATGAAAACTTCCATTTGATCCAAAGGACCCCAGAGGTGACGATGAGGATTTGTACGGTTTGTGTTTTTTTTTTTTGCGTAGATCAATGTTACACACATTAGAGCCTTGTGTGTAAAAAAAAAAGAAAAAAAACCTGTGAACTTTCGACTGTGAGTAAAACGGAGTTGATTTTACTCACAGTTTCAAAAAACACAGGGACAAATCAAATACTGCACTCACTGCTCACTGAGTGTCACTTCCTACAGTTTGGCTGCCAGTTGGCTGACTTGTACATCTATCCTCTGCTTGGCGCCAAAGCAGCTGCACTGACCGCAGGGTTTAGGTTAAGGTCGGCCAAGTTGGCACCGATTTTTAACGTTGCCGTTCATTCTTGGAGCTGTTTGGTCCAAAATTCCAATCACAGATCGTTAAAAAAAACCCTGTTTGGTCCAAAATTCCAATCACAGATTGTTAAAAAAAACATTGCGCACCTTGTCCTGTTTCATCACTTGGACAATGGCATTTATTCTACTGTCATACAAAACACTCCGTGTGCTGTGAAGATAAAAGTGGTTTTAAATAGCACAGGTAGACGGATTGGTTTTTCAATCATTTATCCAAACTTGAACACTTTTGGAGATTCAGGAAATGTCAAGTCCTAAATGTGATGTCTGTGTCCCATTGTCCGACTTAACGCAACGTCTTTTTTTTTATTCAGACAAATGTATTTATGCTTCCTTGAGTTGATTTTTTAAAAGTAATTTGGGAGGATGTGTTCTACTGTCATGTCATTTTTGTATAATATGTCATTCTTTATTTATTCTATTTCTGTCTCTTAAACTAAATTAAAAAAAAAAAAAGGTTAAAGTTTTTTCCTTTTTTGTTTCCTGATACCTGAGCAGATTTTGCTGCATGGGCTGTGCAGTGTTTACTGATTTTGTTGATTGATTGATTGTCTGAACAGCTGTGACTGCTTTGGTCCTTAAAAAAAAAAAAATTGAGTCAAGTTAGATTTGGTTTGATCAGGTTTTTTAACCCTCAAAATGTCCTTTTTTTTTTTTTTTTACCTTCCCCTCCTCCTCTGTTCAAACAGTCCTAATCCTCTTAAGCAATTGTTTTTGATAAACCAAGCCTTAAATATTAAATTTCTTTTTTTACTTTTTTTGGTTTTTACTAAATATTTAAAATCTAATATAAGTGGTTTCAAATAATACAAAAAAAATGTATTTTATGTTTTTTTTAGTCTTGACAAAACAAAGCCAAAATATTAAAAAATAAATACTTCACCACACAGGAAGAAAAAAAGAAAAATACTGTCGGTATGTACTTTTTCTTTCTTTAATTGCAGCAGGTACAGAATGATGATTTTATTGTGTAAAGTGCATTAGTGTGCACTGTTGTTTTGGGAATTGGGTTTGGTCTAAAGAATCCTGACAAAAATGCTGGACAAAATTTGAAAAAAGGTGCTTTTATAGTGACAGCTAAGGTAAATTCTTGTCCTCTTAAATGTATAAAAATACTAATTTGGGGTAATGAAACAGTACAAAAACACACAGGTAAGTGAGAGAATTTAAATTAAAAAAAAAAATGGACAAGAAATAGTTTTGTTTTTTTCCTCTCTAATTTCATAAGTAAAATAATATGAAAGGATAACGACTGAGAACAAAGTCTTGTTGTTCTGCACTTTCTGTCGTTTATGTACAAATCATCAGGGACGAATTGAGTTTCTTTGCGATAAGACTTCAATCTTATACACAGTTTTATTAGTGAATGTTGCATAATACTTGAAACTGTATTTTGAGGATGTTGATTTACTAATTTGTCTTTTTTTTTTTTTTTACTTGGGCGCAGTCATGAGCCTCAGAGTTTATCAGTCCATCTGAAGGCTGCATGGAGAGACACATTTAGAGCACGGTTCTCAAACCCTGGCTTGCTGGCCACTTCGGACTCCATTAAAGATGTCCGGTGACGTATTTGCTGTAAAATGGGCAAAATAGCTCACCACTTTACACCGTGTTGTCTATTTTGAGAATATAATCTTTGAAAGTCCAATCCAACAGTTTGCACCAATAGATTGCGTTTAACACGTTTCATTCTGCGGTGTGTGTTCAAAACGTCTTTTAGTGAAGGCAGCGCGTTTTGCAAACAATGTCGATAAATATTTGACCTAAAGGGTATGTGCTCGTGTTACAGTGTGGTCTGATACGACGAGCCTTCCTCCGAGCTGCTCTGCAGCAGTGGTTGTCTCTCGCCGTAGCCCAACGATCTCTTCCTCCTCTGGTTGCGTTTCCACTTTCTCCTTGCCACCACGACAAGTGTCGCAAATACCGAAGCGACGACAGCACCCAGGAGGCCGGCCCCCAGGAGCCACTGCCAGATCTGCTGGGCCTCCTCCAGGTAGGGCGTGATGAACTCCTGCATGAACCTCTGGCCTGTGGTATAAAACAGTGTTAAACAGGAGCCAAAAGAGTCACGTAGCAGATACTGTAATATTTGGTTGTTCCACACTGACCGGGGTCCAACAGATAGGCGTATTCGTAGCCCAGAACTTTGTTGGTCAGGAAATAGTCTCCGTTTCTATAGAGGGGCAGAAATGGCACCATGTAGTAACCGTCGTTGTGGCCGATGGGGGCATTGGCTCGAGGGTAGGTGCTCCTGACAGGCTGATGGGTCCTGAGCCATCGCTCAAAAATACTGTAGAAGTAGAATAGATATTTTAAATAAGGGCAACAAGTACAATGTACAGGACTGAAGGTGAGTGAGTACAAAAGGTGACAGTATGTAAAGGAACCTGCACTAAAACTGAGAGATGATTGGTGAACACTTCCGGCTTGGGATTGGTTGTTGATAAATCACATGATTTGCAAATTATCCAAGATGGCCGCCAGTGGCTTCCTCTACTTCCCTGTCCTACAATAGTTGTTTTTCAGCTACAGTTCTCGATTGCTTAAGTTCTTTCCCGGGAACTTCTTCATTCGTCATGGGTTTTCTTCTGTTTTATTTGCAAGGTAAACACATTCAGTCTTTTCAGTCATTTGTTTTTGTTCAAACCTATAACTTCCTACTCGGACAGACTTGTTTGTAATTTGTTTATTTTGTTTTTTATTGATAAAAAAAAACTCCAGGTTTGTCTTCTTGCACATTTTGCAAATATATATATATATATATATATATATATATATACATAATCTATTTGTTGCACTGTAATATCCAACTACTGTACTGCAATACTGCATTGTCAGGCTAGAGCTAAAAAAACAAAACAAAAACAAATTGCTTCAAACCAAATCTTAAAAACACCGTTTTCCCTGCGTGTCGGACATCTCACCTGTCAATGAAGGCATGGT